CTGGGACCGGAGGTCCGGATATAAACACAGGAGCAACCCCTCGCCACACCCTCCTCCGGTTCCCTCTCTCTCTCATTGCTCAAGCCCTCCTCACGGCCCTTCAGCTCACGAGATTCGCCGATTGCACAACGACCCGGCAGGTGCAATTAGCGGATTTATAGCTCATGACTAAGGGAGCGCATTGCTACCCCCTTATCTCGTAATTATGAGATAGCAGTGATTAATGCAGTGCATGTACAACCTGTTAAATTGAACACTGAACGCATCTAGAAGCTGCCTTGACCTTGGCTGGCACTGTCGGGTTTTTTTTTGATCGCGTCCATGTCCGGCGCTGCAGAATTCGTCTGTGGTTTTAGTCACAGTGAAATCTTGCAATTTCTAGCAAATATGAACAGAACCATTATGAGCACCAGTTCTGTGGGATTTAGAGATTAAAGCAATGACGGCTCCGTAATGAATATACGTGCAATCAGTTCCACTGCTTAAAACTGTTAGTCCGCATGTAGCGATATACAGTAGGTAACTTGCTGTCAATATATATTTTTTTCCTTACGTACAATGGACATCTTACACCAGACACGCGTCTACAGCTGTGATATTCAGGGAGAAGCGAGTTTGAGTGTTGGGAAAGGCAGGCCAGACGGTGTTGAGTGATTTGAAAATGAACGCGGAGCGCTGTTGGTGAGGCGATGGTGCCACAGAGGCGCTGCGTTTTGTTTTTCGTGGACAAGAAAAGAGAAAACATTTCAGCAAAACACTTTTCCGGGTGCGCCCTTCGGTCCTAATGCGTAATGTAGAGACATGGTATTAGATTCCTGTCAGATTTGATGGACCGAATTCAACTTAATTCTGTTCATGTCAAAATAAGTCTGAAAGCTAAAGAGCTCGTTAAAGACGCGATGAAGTACATGGAGCCCAACTTGGGACTCAAACTCTCTGAGAATTTAGCTTCTTTCGGGGGTGTTGTGTGTTGTGACTCTTGCTTCTCACAGAGCCCGAGCAGTCCCATGTCAGTGTGGCGCGGGAAGTCTTAACCCTAGACCTCGGCTGTCCTAGACATCGCTGTCTGACGCACATCACAGCACCAGTGCAGCAGGTTCTTTGGCGTACAACCACGGGCCTTTGTGTCGCATCTATCCCCATTCAAAGTGCGTTCAAAATACGATACGATATAAAAATGCCACTTGATGAGCTCCGATATCTTGCGTAGAGCCCCGGCCAACCACCCACGAAAAACAGAGGCCGGTTGTTGTGTAATTTAACAGAAACATACCCGCGGTGACACGATTTGGCAAGGCCCAAACGACAAACGTGTCCCAATCTCACGATGGCTCGTTGGACCACAGGATTGCTTCATAATCATTATCAAGGACGTCCGCTTCCAGCCAAAGACAGAGCTCCCGTTCGGGGCTGTTTAAACATCTGCTCATACGACGAGCGCGGTATAAAACGATTCATGCTTCTGAGATCAACATTAAAAGTAAAAAAAAATGAATAGGTAGACGATAGGTAGCTACACTCGGACAGATCTGTACACAAACAGGAAAATGCAGTGCACAAAACGGAGCAGACCCAAACACGGCAGTCTCTGCTGGATTGTAGTCTACAGTGTCCTGCAGGGCTGGCCGCGATGTCATGCAGAGAGGATGAAATGCGTTTGAGGGGTGTGCTAATATCTGAAGAGCGAAGCTGGACACGTCCACTGTTTTCAGGGGTGTTCACGTTAACCCTGCGATTGTTGTGTTTATTTTTACTGCGGGGGGGTGTTTTTTTTAAATGTTCTTAAAAGTTAGAGTTGTGTTAGAGTGTGAGAAACACACGTCTTAGTCATTTTGTTCCATTCAAACTACGCAGTAGACTTACTATAATATATTCAGTTTTTCTTTTGCATCTATGTAATCTAACAACATCAGACGCCTGTTCACAGGGCAAGAGTTGAGGCTCAGTGAAACCACTGTCCGTATTTTGCCCTCCAGGGGGCGCTCTAGGCCACCCTAAAAGTCTATTAATGAGCATTAGTCAGATCCGATACCTGCACATTTAAGGAAGAACAAACACCTTTGGTCTGTTTTGAATGCAAAAGGCAGCTGTGGTGGCTTATACTTAAAAATAAGGCGGCGATTATAAATTCGCAATCCCAAAATAATAGTATTCACAGTAGTATCACTAATTCAAAATGTCACTACAGTACTACTAATAAAAATGTAGAATCCTTGTGATATGTAAGTGTGCTTTTATTTTTAAGGTCTCAACAGTCTTATGTGAATATTTGAGTTTTGCAGTGAGTATGACTTGCAAAGTATTTTAAACACATTGATTCTCTTGGTTTGTTGAGCCAGTTAAGTGCCAATTATAGGACTGAAGCTTTGAAGGTGGTGGATTGTCTGAAAGTGTCTTAAAGATGAATACCCCTGTCGGGATATCCTTTCCCTTTAAGTTAAATTTTCCACATTTAAATCCCCAAATCCATTTTGGAGTATATTAGCTTAAAGTGTGCACAGACCCTGAATTGTGCTCTCAGCATCAGTATCGGATCCTATCCCTCTTGTAAGGGACTTCATTAGCCATCCATTATCCTGAGCACCTGTGAGGCTCCAGGCAGCTGGCAAGGAGACAGGCCTCCAGTGGAACAGATCGGGAGGCCAGTTTGAAAACACTGATACCATGAGCGAGTGATGGACTGAGAGCAGGACCTCAGGGTGCTGCAGTTACAGATGCCACTGGACGAGGTGAGCTAACCCCACCTAGGGGCACTCTGCAACTCTCCGACAGTACAGTGTGCACGCACAGGTAGTGAAATTACACTCAATTGTCTATTGGCCTATCTGACTCGACACGGGGCTAGGCTTGTCCCCAGCGGACAGGGGCCAGCCGGTCACTGTGCCTGTGGCACTGTGTCCAGTCTGCCCCTGTGTGATCCATATCCTCCTAACCAAGGGGAGGAAGAGGGGAATCAGCGATAGAATTTCACCAGACAGGCAGAAGATTGCAAAGACAACATTCGAAAGAAGCAGAGCAGCGGGGACTGCAGGGCCCTGCAGTGCTCAGATAACACAGGCCTCCTCCTGCATCTAGAGCTCTTTCCTTTAGGTTCTTTGGGGTGAAAAGAGTTATTTGAATGCAATTAATTATGATGAAAATTTTAATATAGTTTCCTAGGCCATTAATGTACGGTGGCACCCGCTCTCTCCCTGTCGACACCAGCTGCTGCCCTTCTGAAAGGAGAGCTCAGTGGTGCAAAAAAAGATCCCCGTGTTTCATGACAGTAAATGCACTGAAGCATTATTGCGCACAAGCATGACGACCTCTTTTTTTATATAAAATGCAAAATTCTTTTACATACTAATCACCCTCAATTTAACAAGAGCTTAAAAAGTGAAAGTGAGAGAGTTCTTGCTTACTTAAAATACTTGTACTTAAAATGATCATATCTTTAAAAAGAGACGAAAAGAAATGTTTCAGCTGTGGAGCCTTCTTGACACCCCAAAGAAGACTCCACAGCTGAAACATTGCATTTCCTTTCTTCTCTTTTCAGCACAGAAGTAAACCTTTTCTTGTTCCTTTGCAGCCTGCGCATGCTGGGGCAGCTACCTGCTTCAACTTTATCTTTAAAACGAACATAATGATGGTTAAAAATGAAAGGAGGACATTCAGCATATCTTAGCCTATTTGAAAGGTAGAAGTTAATGGATCCAAGTGTCTCTACCAGCCATTTCTCTAAACAAAAATCAAGGTATCTTCAACTACATGACTGGGTAGCTTGTTCCACACTCCCACCACCCTTTGGGTAAAGTACTGGTTGGAGTCTGAAATTCTCTTCCACATCGTTGCCCCTTGTGCCCCCTCGTTTATGTTTCAGAAATCTCTTAATCTGGTGAATAAATTTAACCTGTCGCTGAGCAGAAGAACAACAAGGCATAACTACCAGATGGTAAAGAAATAACTATTAAAAAAGCAGTACATATATATAAAGACCTGAGTTCCAGGTCTTCTGGGGAAAAAAAAATTACAATTAAGACATCAAGAATGAACTTTGATCTAGTTTCATGGCTGCTTGTGGTTTGAGTGATCGCAGATGGGCAGCTGAATATCTCAAGCTTGCACAGTATTATTAACCTGCATACCAACAGGGGAAAAACACAAGAAAAAGAACTAACATTTGTGGTCTCGCAGCAACAAAAAAAAAGAGAACTCAGTAAAGAAAATATTTATCCTTTATTATTTCCGTACATGCAGTACACCATAGAAATTATATTCTCTAAAATTTTACATAAAATATATTAGATTTTTCCCCATCTGTTCTTATAGAATAACATTCTTTTTTTTTTCTTTTTGTGCACGAACGTGGTCTGGATCTCCCTTGGCCAGCTGAGGGTTGAGAGCAGCGAGCAGAAGCAGGCCACCGGTCAGAGGCCGCCGGGCTCTCGGAGCTGCACGGCGAGTCCGCTCCACAGCACGGACAGAGCGGTCCTCCAGCCTTTTCAGCACTACCGGACAAGCAGACGCGTCGTCATGTCGTAATGCAAAAGAAACAGCCTTTCCTATTTTAATATCGGGCCACGGGTCACATTCCTCGGTGGAATGGGGTGGATATTCCTCAGCGCTGGACGCCGGAGCAGTTCAGTTGAATGGTATTGATGGCCTGGACTCGGAGACACTCAAGAGAGCAACAGCAGCGAGAGGCGGGTTGTAGCTGGGTCAGGGGGCAGACCGAACTGGACTCTCCTGGGTTTGTGCTCTGTCTAGGTCCTTCACAAGCGAACAGGCCATCGGTATTTTGACCCCGGGGCTGACCGCACCCGGTGCTGCTCATGAGGTAGTGTCCTGTGGAGGACGAGCACAGTCCTTGACATAAAACGCACAAGCAGGAATAAAATAAAACTGCAAAAACTCCCCCCCCCCAAAAAAAAACAAAACAAAGTGCAAACTGGGAATTAGGTGCAAAAATCATTTCTTGACGAAATCAAATTAAAACGTGGGAGCTGCGGCCAAGCTCCTTCAAGTCGTCTTGTAATTTACAAACACACGCGCCCTGTCACGGACAGGAGACAGTACCAGCCCAGTTCCCGCTGGCTGGGTTCCCACTGGGCTGAGAGCGGAAACAGAACACAGGGGTAATACACCAATCGATGTGAGGCGATCACACACCGCTGCAGAGCTCAGGCTCCTGGGCTTTGCCAGATGCAGAACACAAATTACATTCACTTTTTGGCGCCTGAGCGCTGGTGAGCCTGCACCTACATTCAGAGCACCGGCCCAGGCTAGTTATGTCGCTACACATGTGGAGGTATGCCTTTTCGGTTCTCAGACCATGCTGTAATTATCAGTCCCCCGCGGGCAGCAGGTGTCAGCCGAGTTTTCTTTGTGAGAAGCAACTGCAATTGTCAGCTCCTGCCTGAGCTCCCTTCCGACACCTCCTCTGCTCTCTGATTGGACCTCTTCGTAAGGGGGCGGGGCAAGGGTTGTGGTCTGATTGGCCAATGGGCAGAGGCAGGTCGTCTCTGGTTGACTGCCCGGGCCAGCGTGTGAAGGGTGGAGTCCGGGGGGCTCCCGAGCCAATAGGAGCTGAGTAGGACCCTGAGAGGGCGGGATCCGCTCTCCCCGGCTCCCATACACAGCCTCCTCGTAGGAGGGAAGGGGAACGGGCCCGCCGTCAATCATCAGGTCCAGCTGGTCAGAAGACCGCCTAGTGTAAAAGCAAAAACAGTGGGAGTTAAAGATCTGAATGTTTATATTTTATGGAGACAATTTAACAAATAAAAATATCAAGAGGGTGTAAACTCCATACAGCAGGCCCTACTGGTCAGCAAGCTTGATTGGCATGAGAATCTAATTCTGTGCATAAACAAACAAATTGGTTGAAACTGTTAACTGACAAAATCCTGTGATTGGATAAGATGAAGTTGGCCAGGAAGGTAATATTGCGGGTTTTTTTTATTACACAACTGGGGAAAAAAGCAGTGGTTTTAGGAAAGTAATTTTTTTATAACATGAAGCTGCAGAAAAAAAGGACAAATAACACAGACAATGTAGAGACTGCTTGAGCAGCCATGTTCTTGAGAGAGTTGTGCTGATTGGCTGAGCTAGGCCAGGGCGCCAGCCGTGATTGGCTGGAGGCCGAAGGGCAAGGGGTGGGGCTACCTGTCCGAGTGACACGGCTGGAGGCGTGACTTGATCACCACGCAGGCTGTGGTGGTCACCAGGAAGATGGACACGCTCACGGCCGTCATGGCAACGCCGGGAAGAGTGTTGGTGTTGGTATTCTGGTCTTCCGGTTCAGGGCTCCAGCCTGCGGACACAAGCAGGAAGGTCAAGCGGACAGAACAAGGACGGAGGAAGAGAAAGAGAGAGACAAACTGGTGCAGAAAGGAGAGCCACTCCCGATCCCGGCTGGATCTACTCTTCCAGGTTTTAGAAGACATCCAAAATCATAACTTGCTCAGTAGTGACCAACAGCGAGTTACTACAAGGATAAGAGGAGCAGGGTTTTGATCAAGACACCTCCAGAAAACATACCCTCACTCCTACACACAAAGTTATTACGCAGTCTAAAACCAAGAGCCTCTAAGACGAAAGACTGACTGGCAAAACAGAAGTGCCTGTCCACACACAGAGACAGTGTGCTGCCTACTAATCAGTAATGATTATTTAACCTTGGAAAGTCTGGTCTTGGACAGGTCAGATCTTCGATTCCAGCACCCATGCCCAGCTGAGTTGGAATTTCTCATAACTGGACATTGCTGCAGAACATATCCACTCGTTAGATGGCACCAGACTCTGAAGCTCAGGTAGATTTTTTGCATGCATCTCACTTCCTCACTTCCTCCTGGGTGGGGAGGCGGTGAGGAGTAGGCTGTGGTTCCCCCCACACCTGACACAGGAAGTGGTTTGAAGTGGGACAGAGTCACCACACTTTTCTGTGACACAGTGTCTGTTTTTACGGGGGAGGAGAAGAGACTGGGGTGACTTCCTGTTCCTAATGTAGGCTTCCTGTCCTATCTCTGAAAGAGGAAGTGGCAGATAACACAGCAGTGACTCAACTGGCAACCAGCGGGCTTTTGTTTATTTATTGGTGCCAATTCTGTTGCTTGACACCTTTTTTTTTTTGTTTTTATGCTGGCGGATTATACCTCGTTTATTTCTCTCTTACACTGTGCTTTCCCATTTATTTAATAACACAATGGTAGCTCGCATTTGCAAAAGGTTTTCATCGCAAAGGATCCCAGAGTACAGTAGGGGACCCCCTCCGCCCACCACCGGAGGGCAGCACCCCCCCGGGCGACCCAGGGCAGCCGTTCCGCACCCGCAGTCCCACGGCACGGCGGATCCCAGTGGGGAGAAGTGAGAGCAGTGAGCCGCCTGCCCTTACGGCAGATCAGGGGAAATCTCCTCTGTCATGTGTGGTAAAAAGTGAAAACTAGAACAGCATGCAAATGGCCCGGCAGGGGAAAACTCCTGCAAGGTTTTCCGTCTCCCGGCACGGTCAAGCCTGCGATCGATCACAAAGCTACGGCTGAGTTCACGCAAACTTCTACTTGTCTGCCGCCTGCAAAAAGGGGGAGGTGGACCCCTGTTTTTTTTTTTTTTTTTTTTTTTAACGGTTCGCCAGACAGAGCAGCTCAAGAACGCAGACCCCTTTCAGACGCGACTGCGACGTCTTCTCTGCTCAGGGGCCGGCCGGCCGGCCCGAGCTGGAAAATGCAGCCGTAGTGGGAGGTGTGTGCGTCTGTGGTGGTGGTGGGGGTCTTTCCCTCACCCCGAGATTTCAAACGGCGCAGCTGGGGGGGCCTCCCACGCGCTCTCCTCACCCGGGACGGAGACGCAGCCGGGCACCGCGGAGGTCCACCGGCCGTGGCGACACCTGGCGCTGCCCGGGCTGTCCTGCGGGAGGGAGTAGCCGGGCTCGCAGAAGTAGAGGATGATCCGGTTGTGGGGGAACCCGCGGCAGGGGGAGGGCTGGCAGCGGAAGCCCCCGTGTTCCGGCACCAGCGGGTGGCTGCAGTTCCGCCCTGGAGAGGGAGAGGGAGAGGGAGAGGGTTAAACTCTCGGGAACGGGACCGCGTCTGGACTGCGGCCACGGCTCAGAAGGCCCGCGGGGGGCTCCTGTTGGACCGAGGCAGAGGATCCACGCTTCGGAGCGGCGGTCGGGATTCTGAGGCTGGGGGTTCGAGTCCCAGCTGAGACACTGCTCTTGTACCCTTGAGAAAGATACTTCACCTGGAGTCAAGTACCCTGCCAAGTAAAACTCGTCAATTCTACAAACGTGGGCAGAATTTAAAGCAAACAAATGACTTCTGTCTACCCCGATTTCTCACTTAAGAAATTCTGGGATGATTTTCCCCAGAGGATATCCTCCCAGCTGCCTGAAGATATAACAGCATCTTCACAGTGTGCACACATTTCCCAGCAGGCCCTGGAGAAGGAACAGCGCACGTCTAGTGATACAAACCAAATAGGCAAGCACGGTGTGGCTGAGGTTTTCAGAACACCTTTACAGCTTCACGGTTGCTTCCCTCTTATGAGAAACAGGAATACATTTCACAGGGTGCTACATGAAAACTCGCTGCCTGGCCCAACGGATGAAAACCCTCTGTTAACACTGAGTGTCATAGCACCATGAAAGGACAGACATCCAGAGCAACACTTCCTCAGTCAAACAGTTCCCCACTCAGCAGTTTCCTCTGTGAGCCGAGTGCTGCAGAGCGCAGAATGTACAGTAACTTGCGCTTGATAATATCTTAGCTGAAAAGTCTGACATGTGGTTGCTGTTTTTAGAAGCACATAATAATAAGTTGCGATCTGACTGTGCAAGTATGACCCAGATGGTGAAAGTGAGACTGTGGAGCACTGTAGCGATTTTACACAGTGGTCTCCAGACCCCGTCCCCCTGGGCTCCTCCGTTCCTCTCATTCCTCCAGTGTGGATGTTGTCAGCTTTTCAGCAGAGCTAAGCTGGTGCAATGCATGTCCTACTCTCTGTAGTGCCTAAATCCACATTGAACAAACTTCAGTGTGTCCAGAATTCGGCAGCCAGAATCCTGACCAAGTCTTGTGCAAGTATTCACTTGGGGTACCCCACGTCCGTCTACATACTGTGGGTGAGGGGCCTTCTCCTCCTGCGCCCCAAAGCTCTGGAATTCTATCCCTAAGGATATCAAAGAGTCACCCTCCTGAGCTCTTTCAAATCAAGACTAAAAACCTTCTTCTTTAGAAGGGCCTGCTTCTGGGTCTGGCCCTTTGCTTTCCTACTGTACTCCATATCCTTAAAGTAGTAGTGTCTCCTCTCATTGTCTACTTTTTTTTCTTACTGTAAAGAGCTTTGAGAAACCACTTCTTAAGGCGCCACAAAAGATAAAATGTACTATTAATGTAGCAATAAGAAAAGATCATGTACTGCCTGCAGGATCCTGTTCTTTACAGATTGAAGATGCACACTGCATAAGCCAGTTCAATTGAACTCTGCATGACCCCGATCCCTTTGTTACTGGCTTAAGTGGACCAATTTGCCAGCATTTCCCCAACTCTTTATGCTTTAAAGAGAAGTAGAAACCTGCAGATACAGCAGCTCTCCTGGACACGAAATGACAAATCTTGGAGTAAGCAGTCATGTAGTCATGTTGCTCCAGCAGGAGACTTCTCTATGTCCATATTATGCACATTCAACAATAAGAGCATCACACTGCATTGCACAGCTCACAGACTCTGCTCTGGTTGTCTGCTCTGGTTGTCAGACAGGTCTTCACTCTCACATATGGTCAATCCACTGTGGAAGACCGAGTGAGAAAGGTCAACACAGTGACTATGCGTGGGAAAGGTTTTCTGTTTGCACCTAAGACCACTGCCTTTCTGCAACTAAAGCCTGTGATTCTTCACACCTGTGTATTCAACCAGAGTGAAATAAAACAGACTGCAGGATGCCAAATGGCATCTTCCTGTCCTGTTTTGTTTAGGTTTGAAAGACTTCTGACACTGTCCCCCACCCTGCATGTTCCTTTGATATGTTAAAGTCTCGCCTGATTTTAGTGTCTAAAAAGGAAAGTGTAACTTAAAGCGAGCGTGTCTTACTGAGTGCTAGAGCAAACCCTTTCTCTGGGATCTGCTCCCCTTCAGCTGGTTGAATTAAAGACCTCCATTTGACAATCTCCTAACCTGAGTGAAGACTGAGTTTTCTTCGACGCCACAATTTGCAGCCCTGCATTGACCTGCCTTATTAAAATGAGCAGCTGATGACAGCAGTTCTCCATTGTCAGCGTGACTACCCATCTTCTGCAAGAACACCTGAGATCGGACCCTGCACAACGCACGAGGCAAGATGTGCCACACGGTACGGGGGTGTTTGTGCCGGCTCCGTTTTGTGGCAGTAGTATTGCCTCTCTCCGCTTGTCAGCATATAGCAGGGCTCTTTTGTACTTCTTCTACTAAAGGAAGCAGGGATGTCAGAATGCGGATTGGTGGCGGTACCTTCTGTGGAATCCGGTAGCCAGGCAAGCACCAGGGCCGCGCTGCACAGGGCGAAGCGCACATGCTGCCATGAGGACACCGCCGGGTAGGACATCAACACTCCCCTGCAGAGACAGACACAGGGGACCCGTCAGGACCTGCTGGGGGAGGGGGCACCTGGCGCGTCACGTTCTACTCGGCGCAGAGCGGAGTCCAGCCCAGCCCAGGCCGCCTGGGCCACGTGCGCGGACACGCGCAAACACAGCACCCCCCCGGGCGACCCAGGGCAGGAGGCCAGACCGACTGGTACTGCCAGCCTCCACAGTAACGCTCCTGCGGCACTGAGCTTCCATGCACTCCTAGTTTCACAAGCTGCAGGCTGTTCTGCAAAATTGTACAAAAGCAAAACATTGCCCCCCCCCACTGAGCTTGTCTGTGTGCCTATGATTAAGTTGGTTTCTGTCTTTTGTACCTGTAGACTTTACATCCCTTTAAAACTCAACCAGGAGTGTTTTGTCTTGTAGCAGAAGGCTTGAAAACAAGTTACAGTATATCCACATCTGTGCCTCTTTCAAAGGCAGCTCTGTCTAGCTGGTGGCTGCACCACTCAGAGCTGGAGCGGCTGGGCCGGTCCCCACCTTCTCAGCTGTGAACCACATGACAGGAGGCTGGAAGCCAGTGGGTGTGAGAACAGAGTGACACCTTGGGGAGCTGACTGCAGAGGCCCCAGTATGACTAGATGCACCGTCAGCTTTTCCTCTGGTTTCCCCTGAGCTGTTTGGATCTGCACTGTTTTCTCACAGGTCTGTGTCGCATGAATTCACCACAGCAAACACTTCCCAGGTCAATCAGACAAATCAACTGCATTGCACTGCTGCTTTCTCGAGTCCCGTTTTAAACTCCTCCCACTGACGCACTGGAGGGAACCATTTTCTGGTGTTGGCGTTTTTCAAGGGTCTTTGCCCAAACACCACACCTAAGGGCAGGGGCTTTCCTGGTTTGCGAAGAGCAACAAGCAAGCTGCCCGACTGCCACAAGCCAGGGCGCCTAGAAATGGGGGCACACCCTGGAAACTGCAGCTGAGCGCCGTGCAGCCAAGCATGGGGAAACCGCAGGGGGGAGTGGAGTAACACAGCACAGCTGTGCAGCACAGCACAGAGCACACCAGGCAGGGTCTTGTGTGCAAAGCCAGAGCACTTCAGGGAAAAGCGTGGGAACTGTGAGCCGGAGCTCCGGCTGGGAGCCACCCTGCTCGGAAGCAGCGCTGGTTCGCCGCTGGCGAAAGCCACTGGGAGTTTTCTTTGGAAAAGAAAGTGCCTCCCAGTCCTGCCTCACGGCGAGAGGAGTCAGAAGCTTTCTCCGAACCCTGGACTGAGCTGGGTCTCCTTCAGCACCCCCGAAAACTATAGGGGACCACGTCCCGTCCCATTTCACCCCGACCCTGCAGCAATTGCGATGGGGAACCCCCTGGACTGTATGTACTGTACACAGCCATGGCCATTATAATATTTCCAGCACATGCACTTTCACTGACTGATTCTCTAGATATTGCTATCAACTGCGCCAATGCACAGTTACATTGCTTTTAATAGACATGACTCAGACACATCCCCTATTGCCAGCCTTATGAAGGTTTGTTATGTGATGCCTGCAACAGCTGCTAAGCTCAGGCAGTCAAACTGAAACTGCCTGGCCATCAAGAAATTATTTATTTGCCATTGCAGATTGTGTAGCTGAAACTTTTTATTTCCACCCCCTCCAAAGGAGAGGAGCTTTAAAAACAAGCTGTCAATAATGCACACAGCGCTGGAGTCCATCTAGGCGAGACGGCGTAGCTGGGCTGATAGCTGAGCAAAGCCCGGCAGCAGCAGAACTATGCGTGTCAGCTCAAGGTGCGATCTGCTCTCCTTCCCCGCTGACTTACTGACCCCATCTCTCTCAAACAGCCGAGCCGAGCAAGGCCAACGCGACTCGCAAGTATCTCCGTTTCGAGGAAACGGGCACAGTCCCTTGACATCTTAACACAGTGACAGAAGGGGCTTGCTCAACACTGGACCTGCGAATTTCGGCAAGTGACCACTGTTCCTCCTTTTCCAGGAAAGCTGGGTGACACCCGGAACCTGACCTCATGCGATAGAGATTGATGGAAAAACGTTTCAACACGTCTTCCACGGACCCGCGGGATTAACTAATCCGTTGACGTTACTCCGTTTTACACCAAATGCATTTTTAAGGTTTACCTTCCCATTCACCGAAGTGTACCGGTTTTAGGCTGTAATAGAGTTATTACATGTGGACAGACATGCCTGTCGCTTTGATAGCTACATCTGTCTTGAGTGAGGCTTACTGTCGTCATTAAACAAAAACCCACAAACTTTCTAACCCTTTAACAGGGAAACGCACCTCGGTCAGTTACTTTACATCAAAGCGACCAACATCGGGAGATATTTAACAACCAGAATACAAAGCCTGGATATATTTTTTAATTAATCTAAAACAAAACGGTACAATACTCACCTATAGCTTCTACAAGAAGGTTCGTTATTAAAAAAAAAAAGCTGCTATACAGAAACGAGGAACAATTCCCGGCGTCAACCAACCACCACACACACACACACTCCTTTCGGTATAGGATAAGTGCCAGAATATTTGTTATTTTTCCAACAAAATCTTGAGGTGCGGGAGACGTTCACACGCCGTCCGGAGATGAAGCCGTCTGCCGGTCCCAGGCGCGAGCTGCTGCGGGCCGGGACTTTTAACTGTGCCTCGAGCTCCGGGCTCCCGCACACCTCTGACGTCACAGTCCCCGCCCCGCGGTGGGGCCGTGGCGTTCGGGAAGTCTGGCCGCTTTGCAGAACAGCTTTGATAGATAAATACGTCGGCGCCCCCGCTTCTGCCCTGATGGCAGCGGCGGTCTCCTTTGCCCGCTTCCTCCCTACGTGGCAGCCGAGACTCGAGTACGTTTTTGCTCCAGCTGATGCGCTCGTGCCTGGCTCGTATCGTGGGCCGTTCCCGCTGTTTAAAAGCGTCCGAGTGCGCTTCTTGCGAATTGGGGTTGGGGTTTTTACCACGCACGCACGCAAAAAAATAAAATAAAACACCGGGTCTGTGTTCATTTTCTGCGGTGGAAAAAGGTGCGTTTCTGTAATAGCTCCGTTTTGAGCCGAGACTTCAACAGCGAATGACTCAGACGAGAAACGTTTAGCAAAACTTTCTAAGGCTAGAAAATTTTCTAACCCGAGAGCGCAATATGTATACGAAAGGTGTCAGTCCCACGCTGCGTCAGTTGTGTGAAATCGAGAGGTTCCTCGGAAGACTAATAACCTACACCCCCCACACTTTGACCTATATTCTTGAGTTCTCTTACACAAAAAAAACTACACAAGCATTATTTCGTGATTTATTTTTGTCTGATGGGCACGGGTGTAAAACTCAGTCCGGAGCGGCGCACTGTCCGGTCTCCGCAAGTGTCTTTACCCCCTGAGCTGTGTTGAACCCCCGGCGGAAAGGTAGCAGGTTATAAGGAATTCATGTAAGATCGTCCGTGAATCTGGAATTGCGACTCGGGCAGTTTAAAACAAGCGCACAGAGGCCGTGCGTTTGTTTTACTCGCGATAATCCGAGTGCGGATGAGACGCGCCGGATGAACACTCCGGTAGGGATCTTTCTCAACTCAATCGCCCAGTAGCCAACTTTCGGTTCCCGACTGCTGTCGAGCCACGACTTCTGCTTTCGGAGTCATTTCCTTATTTCACCAGAGCTGCGGGCGTGTGGGTCTCGATTCATCTCGGCGCACAGCTGGAATATTCCAGTTTGCTTCTCTCATAAACTGGTAGGATCACGGATGATCACTATAGCGACCACAATAAGACAAGGAGAGACGAGAGGACAAGGCAGTCTTATTCACTTTTCAACGCCCCATACCATTTTAACAGCTGAGATATCACATTTCATCAACGTCGATGATTATCAAGAATGGGAAATACGGAAGGTGTTATAACCAATTCCAGATTAACGAAGTGTAGAACTTGTTAAAAACAGCTGAACTTAAATCGAACTGTTTTTTTAGACTGTTCAACTTCAGCTGTATTTAAAGAGTTACTTCAAAAAGTTTTTAAGAGTTTTGGCGGTTTTGAAGTCTGTTGTGTCAAGGAAGTTAAAGACAGGAGAGGATGTTGTGGCTTCAGTGCTGTGTCATTTTTCAACACCTCAAGCTGAAGCCCTGCGAGGTGGCGCCTGGGGATACTGGTACAAGTCCAGTTGTGACTTCACCGACTTGGGATAAGCCCATCACATTTTGTCCAAGGAGTTGGTCCTCAGCACACATATACAGTACAGAAAGGCGCTTAAGTCTTCTACGTATTTAACACTCTAAACTACATTCGGCAGCTGGTTAAGCTCAGATTCCTCTCCATCTATTTTCAATCCGAACCTCTGGTCGTGACACCAGAGCTGGAAAGAAAATGAAAGTAATAGAAAGCTGAAAAGACTTCTGATGAAGGCAGATCCCCTGGTCACTGCTCGTCATCTGTAACCAGCTTTCTCAAACCAGGCTCTTTCACCTGAAACCCGCTGTATGTCTGTGCACCAGTGTCTAGGCCCTAAGAGATGAGCCACAGCTCCTGCACTGAGCTGCAGAGCTGCCAGAGGGTCTGGGGATCCCTTCCCCACTTCCCCACTGTCCCCCACTGTCCCTGTGCTCCCAGAGTGGGTCCAGGCCTCGTCACGTTGGTGGTCCCAAACTAGACGGGCAGGGCGTCCCGTCCCTGAAAGCTTCGTTTGTGCCCTGGCCAGTCCGGAGGACGAGCGGTGAAACTCATGACACCAGGACGGGTGTGTAAACTAAGGTCTGGGCACTCAGGGCAGCAATCAGGAAGCCATGAGCTCCAACACTTGTGCCTGTGGGCTGTAGGCAATTTCTTGGGATGCTTGAAGAAATGACTGGACAAAAAGCCTTCCCTCAAGAGCTCGGGAAAAAAAAATCTACAATGGCCTTCTAGGCCCAGAGCTCTGCCTCCCTTCGTCAACAAAGAACTAAGGGAGAGAGGGCAAACAGGGACATCGGAGGACACCTATTCCTGCTCAGACCTGCCCTCTTCCAGTGCAGAGTTCAATAGCATCCCCAGTTAACTGCTAGGAGGGCAGCAGGGCTGAAAAAACCACATCCGTCCTTAACAAATTCAGAAAAAAGGAGAAGACATGAAATCCTCCATGTCTGCTGTTGACTTACACACAAGAGCCTACAGTTGGTAAAACCTCAATCGCACCGCTACGCAATGGAAGCCTTAGGGCTGTGTTCTTATGCACATGTGTGCACACATGAAGACAATACAGAAAAAAGTCCAAACATTAATTTCACACAGAAACTACATATTTTTTAAAAAATGTATTTGCAAAACTATTTAAAATCTGCATTATGCAAAGGGTTTTTCTTCATTTTTTTCCTTTTATCTATAACAGAGGAAATTCATTCAGGAAAGAACCATTAAGGTCAAATAAAACATGTCCCCCCACCCCCCACCCCTTTTCACATGCACACACCCCACACTCTCGAGCACGCACACAGTCTGAAAATCCACAACACTGCTGCACTAGAGCCCGGGAAAGAAGACAATGCAAAAGAGTTCCAAATGCACCACGTTCCATTTGACATAAACATGTCCCAGTAGTTGTCACTGTCTGCGTGTGAGAGCTGTGATGGTCGACCCCTGCAGCCCTGAGGTGTGATGGAAAATGAAGACGGCTCAACGTGAGGTTTTGTTCCAGAACTAAAACGCGGATGAAACGAGCATCTTTAAGACGGGTACACATATAATCCCCAATACCAAGGCTCTTGGCTTATGCAAATCATTCTGTTATCGTTCCTCAGGCATGTCACTCAACTACGGCAGGCAATGAATTAAATGTCATCATGTATCATATTGTTGGGCACGTCTCCAACAATGACAAAGGGGAAGGCTGGAGTTATCTGTGTGGGCATGAAAAGGTGTTGTTATTGTCACTCACACTGTTCCTGGATATTGCCCCACAGACCTCTGCAGTTTCTCGTAAACAATCTGCAGTTTTGTAAATCAGACAAGAGTGACAGCAAAATGCAAACTGGGGGGTTGGGGGGGGGAGGGAACAACAGTAAAGCTACACAAGACAGATTTTTAACCACGTGCATTTGTGACACTGCATGCTTCGCTTGAAAAAAGAGTTTTAAAAAGCATTCCTACCAACGGCTATGCTCCCAGTGCTGCTGAAAAGTTCTTTTCAAGATACGTCAAAAGGCATTGCTCAGCATTTCTGTCCTTTAAATTAAATATTCTACTAACTAGTTATCCTTCGCTGTGCAGTCACCAATTTGTTGGATCTGTGTGCACAAGTAAAGTAGCCCCGCTAACCTTAGCGAATCTATAGGGCCACTGCCAATCCAGAGCAAGTGTTTCTAATGAGTGGACTTTGTCAAGTTGCCACTATGACTATGAAATACAGCCACCTGCTCCATTAAAACAGGCACAGCTGCAAACGCAGTGGCATCACCCCATGCTTCCGCCTGGGCTACAGCCACTAGCAGCAGTGTTAGTGTCAGCTCCATAAAGTTCTACTGGTGACACAGCAGAAAGCACATGTGCCTCAATGGTAAGACTGCCTATGAAGTACTGGCCTATGGAGAATGTCAGCTCTTTGAGTGTCTCTCTTTCCCCAAGAACAGTCAGGAGTCGGACATAAACGGACCCCGACTCCAAAACCCATTTCCGTTAATTCAGAATACACCCTTCAATGTCTGCCACTAAGACAATTTAAAGGTCACTTCCCAATAAAGAGGTTTACCACCCCACCTCAAACAACAAAAATCTTTTTAAAAAAGGAGCACTTCTTAGCAATCCAATCACAGTTTTTACCTCAAGGCGTTGAGCTGAGAACTATAAGATGAGATGTGCCAACACTCACCAACTAGACAAACCAGGACAGTGATGCACGGCTAATTAGTCCCTTGAGTGAGCAACCAGAGGGAATGTAGTTTTATAGGTCCATGTTCATCCAGCTGAGAAAGCGTTACAATAGAATGTGCTGAATGTTTTCATTGTGCTGCAGCAGAGACTCATTCACCCGTAGGTTTGATTGAAATACTGCTCAATTTTCATGAAGGTCTGAATTTTGGATCATGAACAACGTAGTTTCCAGGGGTTTCCTTCCCAGGGGTTACTGGAATAAACGGCTCGACTGAAAAGGCGTAACAACTGTATAACAAAAACAAGGTCTTGGGAGTCCACGGGTCCACATTTAGAAATTCTTTTACCCATTGCCCCCAAAAAACAAAGTCTGAAATTACTAATACTGTAATTAAATTCCTAAGCCCCACAGACGCATTTGAAGATAAAATTCTAATTGAACCTTGAGGCAACAAATCAGAGTAAAGTTGGCACAGTAAAAAAAAGGCATTTTTCCCCAAGCATACATTTAGAAAAAAAAATACTTTCTTCTAAAAAGTCTTTTCTTTTAAAAGGCAGTTTCGATAGTGTTTGAGTGTCATAGCCTCTCAGGGCGACTGACAGTTACTGGAAAGGAAAAACTGGAGAACAATGATCCTTCCTCTCTTCAGTGAAGCAGTGGCACGTCAGGAATACAGCGAGTGTCTGTAGTGTTGCCAGAAAGGGCCACCCTGACCCTTAACGCACAAAGCAGCTGGCGTGTTCTAGTGCGTGTCGAAAGTAGTGTTCGTGAAGAGCGCCGAGCTGGTGATCAGTCTCCCAGTGCACAGCAGTCTGATCCATTTCAGGCTGGACTGGTTTGCGTCATTTCCCTGTTCTCCTCTTCTTAGTGGAGCCTTTGCTTATTGCCTGGGACTCCACGCAAAGAGAGACCAGAGAGCTATGGGAGCGTGCACAGTGTGCATCTCCACCAGGGCACGTCCGTGTGGGTCTGCACCCATGCCTGCCGGTGCAGGAACACGCGCCCCTTCTCTCGTTGGCGAGCGTGTCTGTGCACAAGCCATCGACGGAGCACGGGTGCACAGGTGGTAGTGCCAGTTGTTTGTTGGGCGCCCTGGTGTGAAGTTTTGGCCTTTATTTGAGATCAGCGCGTGAGAGCCTGGCCTGAGATTGTCTGTGGCTGCGTCGGCGTAGGAGTGGAATACGTCTCCACACAACATGAATTCACACCTCTGCACCAAAGCAAACTAATTTACCAAAGCATGAGCGCTTTTCGGGAAGCGCCGAGGCTCGTCGTGGTCACGCCTGTGGTCAGAAGCAGCACTGGCAGACAGGAGTGCATGACTCTGTATTGAAGCTGTCTGCACGGAGTCAAGGTTATCTTGCTCTAAAGCACCCACCGTGAATTTTACGAGTAAAGAAAGAGGAAAAAAAAAGTGTGAACTCCTGCCAGTTTTGAATGCTACGACAGAAATCAAATTTCATTTCTGGGCTGCCTGACTGAGACCCACAACTCAGCTAAGCAATTCAGGCCCCTGGAGTGGTTATACGTGAGAAGTTAACAACACACATTCGCATCTGCATTCAGTAATGGTAACTCTTAGGAAACAGTGATAGTCGGCTCAGATTTACATTCAAACAGTCCCCCTCCCCCTTTCCCTGGCTTCTGCTTTCTCCAGCATTGTGTGTTTCAATGTACCCCAGCAGTCCAGTCGTTCAGAACCCAATGAAATAAAGAAATAGTTGAAAATCCAAAGCAACACATTACAATGATAAAAAAAAACAATGAGAAAGAGCTAAATCCCAGCCTCTCAATGCCCCCCCCCGTCTTAGAAAGAAAACCACAAAACAAATCTACATGCATCAATTCGAAAGGAAACGTTTTCTGTCATGTCATTAAAAATATTCTAGACTGTCTACTCTGAGTGCGACACTCTTAAAAAAACTGTAGCCTCTCTACAGTGCTTAAAACAGCCCATCGTTGTAGTCAAAAACGATATAGAATTTAATATATTTATAATATTCATATAAAAAAACAAAACAATTCCAGTGTTGATCTTTGCTTTAGTGTCCTTAACACAAACACTATTTCTAAAAGTTTATATATATATATCAAATCGCGGTCCTTCTTCAGTAGTATCTTGTTGTGTATCGATGGTGGTTTTTCCCTCTGAGTGAACAGTAGTGTTGCAAAGAATTTCTTTTAAAAATGAGGAAGTATCCAGTTTTCCGGAAGAAGAGTGGGGTGGGAAAAGGACCTGGATTTGCTGTGCCCTCCCAGTCGGGAATGACTCGAAATCCTGCTTCACCACCAATAAGTTCTCACCAGGCAAATGGGGGGAAAAAAATCTAATAAGTTTCCAGTTGCCCTTTCTTGTGGTGGAAGGCCAGCACAAAACGCAATGCGATGTGATTTTTGTTTTTAGCAGAAGAAGAAGAAGAAAAAAACATTTTCGTGTTGCAATTGTCCAAGCTCAGAGAAGCGGCAGCACGGACTCAGGTCTCCGTGTGCCGCAAAGGTCCGTCATAAATAGCTCCGTAGTAGTGTGAGGCAGACCGCTGCTGCCAGCGGAGAATTTAAAAAACACATCTAACCCGGCCCTACAAAATCAGTGAGAAAGTCAGAGATACTTCAGGGGGTCAAGGCTGCTCCCATCCTTGTCTCCTCTGCACTTGGCGGCCTGCGTGGTTCCTCGGTAGTGAAGGGGGGAGCCGGGAGGAGGGACGCCCAGTCCTGAGGGCGTGCAGCAGGGCGGCGGCCTGTCTGTAGTGTCAGTGTCGAGACTTGGGGCGTCTCCCCCAGGCAGGGGGGGACACTCTGACGGGACAAGCAGGCAGGCGTGTCCGTGCGCGGTGCCCTCATCTCATCCGGTTCTGCCGCATGAGGGGCACGATGCAGGAGGGCGGACCGGCCTTGCTCAGGAACGGGTGCTTCAGCAGCTCGCTGGCGGCGGCCCTCTGGGCGGGGTCCCGCACCAACATGCGGTCCAGGAAGCCCTTGAGGGCCGGGGAGACCTGCAAGCCAAGTGCGAAGAGCCACAGTAAGGCCACCGCGTTCGGTCTTTCTAACGAAGGAAGACCCACAAAAATCACAGACCGACAGGAAGACAAGACGCCAATATCACAACCACAAGCTGACTTCAGCTGAGCTGAGGTGGGGTCTTCTACCACAACCACCGTTAACTATGTGCAGGATACATAGAGCTGTAAGCAGGAAAGGTGTGGCATGATCTGAAAAGACAGTTGAGCAGCTAACGAGGACAACATAACAAAATACAAATATGGGTGTAACAAAATGAAGGGGTGAAACGCTGGATCCCAGCCCTGTGGTCAAGAGGACCCAACCTCACCAGTTTCCTTTTAAACACACAGACGGAGTACAAATGCCCTGTAGACTAATATCATCTCAAACCTTTTAAGAGGAGATGGCTTTACCAATTTGTAATGTCTCTGAATTAGAATAGGAGCCTAAACATTTTTTTTCTACACAAACTCTGTGGAGTCTGGAACAAAGTACTGTCTGGGTAGATGAAACCAATTTTGGGGCTTTGTCTTTAGAAAACCAGTTTGCTGCTTTAAACAGTGTTGGTGGACTAGAGACCAGGATGTCCAAAGCAGCACACCGATGGGGAGACTGTGTTGTGGATGAAATCCTTTGGGTGAGACGTTGCACTGAGTTCCTGACTACTTGGTCATTACAGATTCAAAAGACTAGTGAGCCTTGTGGTTTTCACTCAATTCCACTGTGGGCTTGAGTGAAGACTCTGAAGTCCATTGCTCTTTTGCACTTAATTAGCTGTTCAGTGGGGCTGCCGTTACAGAGACCACGTGTGGTAGAGTGGATACCTATGTGTACAGTGCAATGGGGTCCTTTGGGCTAATAATGTTATGGAAATTAGGGGAATTATTAAAAGTGTAACATGGTTTAAAACACTCCAAGCATGAATGTCGGAGGTCTCCACACAAATTACCATTAGGATACAAAGAGAAAATCAGGGATGGGAAACCACTTCTTACCCACAATGCTGTGTGCATGCCAACACCAGATGAGTGATGTCCGAGTTTGGAAAATTTACTCAGCAAAAAATAAGATGGGCATTTGGAAATAAAATAACACTTCAGGACAGATTTCTGTCTATCAGATTCATTGGGGGCTCTATGCCTCTCTGAACAAGAAGTGGATCAAACAGCAGTGCAAACACGGTCTCTTCTTGCTAGGTTTCCAATGTCGAGGGTGACTTGCCTTGTGGATGTTTTTGAGTTTGGGGGGCATGTTGTCCCGGATCATCTTCATGGCTTTGAGGGGGGGCTCGTTGAAGTAAGGGGGCTCCCCGTCCACCATCTCAATGACCATCACCCCCAAGGACCAGATATCCACCTGCAGGGGAGAAGAGTGAAAAGAGAATGAACACTGAATGACTGCTGGCTTGGCACTCAACCTATATGACACCTGCAGTCTACGCATACTGATGCAGCTACTGATGTGAATTTCTATGTGACAAGTGACCACTATGAAGTATTTAAACATAAAAAGCCAGCACATGGAAGCATGACCTTCTAAAACAAAGTCCATCCAATGGGCAAAACTGTCCAGTTCTGCCAAAATACTGCATGTGCCTGCTTGAGCGCCTGTGTAAGGCCTTGCATGGCACACAAGGTAACATGTCTGTGCCCGCTGTGTTTGTGTCCATTCTCTTAGAATATGACTAAGCTTTGTAAGGAACGACATGGGTACAGTAAACTGTTCATGAGGTTTAGAAATCAGCAGTATGGGTTTATTTGAAGGTTTTTACTACACATCTCGATATTAACATGTGGTTAAAAAGTGATTTCTGAGGGAAGGAACACTGCCAGTCATGCATGCTCTATAGAATGTGGATGAACACCATCCCCTGCTGAAAGCCAGCAGAGGAGTGTGATCTAGGGTTTCCTGCCGCAGTGAGAAAGGCGGAAGCTGGATGGCAGGGCAGTTTACCTCCTGGCCATAGGGCAGTCTGGAGATCAGCTCGGGAGCCATCCAGTAGGGTGTGCCCACCAGGGACTTGCGCCGCTGGACTTCTTTAGAAACCTGGGCACAGAACCCGAAATCGGACAGCTTCACCTGCGAAAAAGCAGACATACACAGCACTCAGCAACCGGGCTCCTGCAAAGCCTGTGATGACAATTTTAAGGACTCTTTGTCCTGCCTTATGAGAGCAGATTAGACTTCTACTGCACAACAACTTACATTTGAGCTGCATATTATAAATGGCAACACCGGATGTTGAACATTTCAAGGTTTTTACTTTATTTTAAATCGACTCTCATGAGACAGACAAAGCTTCGAATATTCAATGTACAACTTTGCTGCATTAGCACTGAAAATGTAAACTGGCGCTGGAAATCCTGGAAAGGAATGAAATGCAGTGGAATGGGAATTTTCCCAGTTTATGCGTCTTCAAAAACTCCACCTCCAGATGGAACTACCATCACAAAGAGAAGCTGAAAACTTTTTGAGAGGGAAGACGAGGGAACATCTTCATTTTCTCTTCAATACCGAAACTGCACTGTATTCAAGCTGAAATAAACTGAACGTGCAAAACAGAGAAACCACTTGAAATAAACAGGATGAGGAAAGTGAAACCCTTGAACCAAGATCAAAGGCAGTTCGGAGGAGATATAATAGAGACTAATATTAGATACGCCTATGTAAAAAGTTTCATAGATAATATAAGTGTGTGACAGTGCACTTACAATATCACAGTGACGGGAAATTGTCCCCTTTTACATTAAGTGCATCAGAGTCTGCTTTGTCAGTTCTTATGTGCTACACAAGAAACCCAGTTGCATTGGTCACCATAATCCAGGCAATCCTGGTTCTGGAGGTCCAGAGTCTCTGCAAGTATTCATTCTGGCTCTCCATAACCTAATTGGCTCATTAATGGCTTAATGGGACCATCCCAACAACCCTTTCCAGCTCGACACACTGGCCTCCACGATCAGAGCCGTTTACCCCCGCAGTAAACCATCACTATGTACAGCCTTGTGAGCTTTTTGTAAACTACAGATGATTTGTGATGTCCAGGATGGTGAGCTCTTTGGGCAACTTCAAACAAGGTCTGGGATGGGGTCCTTGGCCAGTTAGCGTCTTAAGCCCCAAAGCAGCAGGACGGGTGTCAGTGACCGCTCGAGGACTGCCCTGCTCATGCCTCCCAGGCCAACGAGCTGCACGAGTGTCCAGTGAGCTGGACTGAAAGGAGGCTCCTACCCTGCCGTCGTGGGTCAGGAGGATGGAGTCGCTCTTGATGTCCCTGTGGATGACACCCTGGGCGTGCAGGACAGACAGCGCCTTCAGGACAGACAGGCACACGGTGGCAATCTGCTCCTCGTTCATCCTGAATTGGGAGACACCCGAAATGAAATCTCACTAGGGTTTCTCCCTCGGGGGGGGGGGTTAAAATCCATTGGGAACCATGGAATGAAAACTGTACATTAGAAACCTACCCCACATTCATACAGATATATTATTGCAAACAGGCATTTGTGTTTCGGCTCCATGAATGATCTTTCAGCAGCATCAATTTACAGCGCATCCGGAACTAACCTTGGCCCCAAATCTAAAACTAACATTACATTTATATATAAACATACTTTGATCTCTGTGCTGTTAAAACTACTATATGCTGCACTTGGTGTTAATGAAACAAGACTGCCCTGAAGAAAAATAAGCAGAGCGGACTCAAAATACCACCACCTGGTGGCACGAAGTGGAATTACTTTGAGGAAAAGTCTGCCCTTTCATAGGGAAATTACAATATAAAAAGATTTTTTTATATGAGAAAAACTGAAATGTTTTAATTTTTAAGATCTGCTTTAAAGGAACCCAGAACATGGTCTGTTTTTCATTTGACTATGATATCGAAGTGGTCATGAAAGATGCTTAGTATCGAAGGAGAAGAAGTGTAGGCGTGAATGACTGAACAATCTGAGCGAGACAGATTCTCTCCCCATCTCCTCCTTAAATGGACCTACCTGACTCACCATCACGAGGGGAAAGAAATGTGTTATCTTGTTCGGTAACCGAAGGGAACGAGAAGGTGGGATTCACATCCCAACCCGATGTGAATCCACCCCCCCCCTTCAAAAAGCAAACATGTTTGATTCACACCTAAACCGCAAAAGACATTTCCGTTTTGAGTGACTCCCATGGGTAATCTTAGGTGCCCATGCTGGTACAGAACTCTACACCCGTTTTGGAAGCCAGTTCTTGATAATTATGGACCTTGCCAGCGTTTTCACCGGTGACAGTTTGAGGTCGCAGCCACGCAGCGAGCGGAGAGGAACTAGTTGCGAATGCCTTCAGGATTAGCCTGGCTACAGGAAAAGCAGGTTACAGATGACAGGCTTGTTGCTGCAGTTATTTTTGGAGGAGCAGTGAGAACCGGCAACGAAGTTAGATTTGCCTGGTGTCTATTTTTAGCTCTCCAGGAAGACCACAGTATCAATCAGCCGCGCATTTCTAGTCTGTGAATCAACCTGGTCGCTGGAGGCCACTCCTCCAAACTTCCTCAGCTCTCTAGGTCATGGGATGCAGAACCCCTGCTCAACAGCAAGGTCTTTCACTGGCAGGACAGACAGCGCACAGGCTATGTGCATGGCTCTCAGTCCAGGAGAGGCACCGTGACACTGTGAGTGTCTCGCACCCACTTCCTGAATGACCTGCTGAATGACTGTGAGATTCTCCACAACAGCTTCTGCTGCGCAGCTTTTCCTCGGCTTTTAAAAAATAGCCTTAGGAGAAACAATGTTCAGGTTTTGACTTGCTCATGCAGGGCACAGTCTGCACTGCTACTTGTGTTGGTTCTCTGCTGAATTTAGATGCGTTCAGGGCTCATTCTATTTTGTGTGCATGAGAGGGGCGCATGACACGATAGCACCGCCTTCACCGGCTATTTCAAATCCGGCCGTTGAACCAAGTCCGTGTGCGCGGGTGTCTAGATCGATGTTAGGAAGGGTCCTAGTGCGTGCGACTCGTGCCCGTTCTGCGCCTGCCGTGCGAACGCGGACCTGGTGTGGGTGACGATGTCCGTCAGGGCCCCGCCCTCCAGGAACTCCATGACCACCCACAGCTCGTCCCCCACCAGGTAGCTGTTGTACATCTCCACCACGTTGTCGTGGTGATAGTCCCTCATGATCACCACCTGGAAGAAGAAAGAAAGAAAAGGAGTGAACCAGCGGTCCGCCGCCTGCGTGGCTTTGCCGTGACCTGCGTGGCTTCGCCGTGACCTGCGGAGAGCGTGTGACCGAGGGTGGTCCTCCTACCTCGTTGAAGAGCAGCTCCCGGCGCTGCTGCTTCCGCAGGTCCATCTTCTTCACGGCCACCAGCTTGCCCGTGCTCTTGACGGTGGCGATGCAGACGATGCCGGTGGAGCCCTCCCCGATCTTGATGTAGTGGTCCAGGTAGGTGCGGGGGTCCCCGGGGTCCACGACCATCTGCAGCGCGGCGCGGAACTGCTCGTGGGAGACGCGCTGGGGCTCCCTCTGCGG